TCATTCTTCCGCCCTAGAACCAAACAAGGGGGATACTTTTTCAAACTAGTAAATTATGGCCCTGGCCAGTGTGGCTCAATTGGTCAGAGCATCATCCCATGTCCCAAAGGGTCAAGGGTTCGATTCCCAAGGTCAGGGCACAAGCCCAGGTTGTGGGTTTGACCCTCAGTTGGGGCGTGTGCAGAAGCAGCCAATCGATGTTTCTCGCATCGATGTTTCTCTCTCTTCCTCCCTCCCTCGCCCTTCATCTCTTTCTAGAATCATATCCCAGATCCTAGGGGGGGGGAATTTAAAAAAAAAAGAAAACTAGTAAAATTATGGCATTTCCAGTAGAGCCATTTGTTTAATGTCTGTGCATATTCAGAATTATAAAATCCTTATAAAATCTCAGGCACATGCCACACTGGAGACTGACAGGAATCAATCTATTGTAGCCGCTTTTTCTTTCATCTTGGGAAGACATTCATTCTCTGAGTACCAGATGGAAAAGTGAATGCTTAGAGGCCCTGACGGTAAAAAATCTTTAACTGCCAGAATGGCACTCAGTGACTTGATCTGCTTGAGTTACAAAAGACCCCTGAAGGAACAGCAGATTGGCGCCTCCCATTGCACTGTACGCCACGAAATAACACTCGTGGAGGAGAATGGGCTGTAAGCCCTTGTGCTTTTAAAATGATTTCTTTCTTTGATTTTTGGGGGCATTGAAGTCAGCCAAGTTTGTGTGAGTCAGAATAAGTTAAATAGGAATGTGATGCGAATTCACAGCATTTCCTCTACTCAGAAAGTTCAGGAGATCATAAAAGACAAGGGAGGCCACAGACAGACATGGGCAGGCTCTGGTAAGGAGGCTGGCTCCCCAGGAGGGTTGGCGCGCCTGTACCAGGGGTCTGAGGATCCTGACAAAGTTCGAGACCTGATTGCTTTTCTTCTCTCAAGTCGAGAGTCAGGGTTGGCTTTGCCACAGTTGGCTGACATGACTCTTGTTTTTGGCCATGGGTATTTCATTCTCACTCCCCTCTCTCCTGGTTTATTAGGTCAGAAATTGATACATGAATGTAGTTATCAGCTATAGTTGAATGAAGCTTAAATTGTGTATTCAGTAATATGTATTGACAGTTTTATTTCATCAAGATGCAGCTATGTTTCACTCAAAGATACTGAGTGTGACTTATTAAACAAGTTCATTTTGTGTGTGTGTGTGTGTGTGTGTGTATGTAAAATGTACTAGTGCTTAAACTATTAAGGTTGTTAATAAAATTTCTTACCTTATTTATCATGACAACATTTACCAGACAAAACACCTTTTTTTTTTTTTTTTTTAA